TCTGGTTTTTAAGAGTTTCTCAACGTGCTCTTTCTTTTGTCTAGCGGACACCTTTGTCCAAAATGCTCGGAAGTAGGTTTTCTAGAAAACTGCTGTTTTAGAACCAATGGTCCGGAAAGTCTTTTTGTTTTGACAGTCTACTATGAGGGCCAATTAATTTCCCCCCCTACGCTATTTTTTTGTTCTTTTTTACTGCATTTTCTTTATTTATTAACCTATTAAATATGGTGAGAAAGTAGGTATTTCATCTGCATCTTGTTGTATAATTATAAGTACACGACAAGATGCACGTGTAATACATACTTTCTTGACGTATTTAACAGGTTAATAAATAAAGAAAATGTAGTAAAAAAATATAACGTAGGGGGGAAATTAATTGGCCCCCATAGTATAATGATAGAGTAACCAATTCTCTACAAAATGAGATGTCTCCGAGATCTCTATGACTTTTTTTGGCTGAGTTGCATCAGTTTTAATGAAGGGCAAAAGCTGTTTTTTCGTTTTTTTGTGTACTCAAAAAGTGAGTACACTCTAGAATTGGTCAGTGTGTCCGTCCGGCAGTCCGTTTATACGATAACTTTCGAAAGAAGAGTCCGATCGCGATGAAATTTTCTACATAGTTCAGTCTTTACAATATCTCCGTCGAGTTCGAAAATGAGAAGGATCGGTCGAGCCGTTCCTAAGTTATTGCAAAAATACCCATTTTTCCCTATGGCTTTCTATGGAAAAATCGACCCACCGGTACTTTCGTAAAAGACTTTTCCTATCATAGTCAAATAAAACCCCAACTATTATATACCATTCGATAGAGAATTTCAAGAGCTACAAAATGATATATAAAACATTAGGAAACAAGGAGACTATCTCACCCATTGCAAAGGTAAATAGGCAGGAATCCGTCCTGTTTTTGTGCACGCTCTAATTGATCCCCAATTAGAACTCTATCTTCCGATCATAGAGGTGATAATCAAAGGTTTTCTGGGGAGGAGAACTAGAATCTGCACTACACTTGCCTCGAAGCCCCCATTGGTTGAACATTGACCAATAGAAATCAAGTTATAGGAAAAAACGACTTTCTGAGGCTAAGTAAAGCCGAACAGTTGACATTTGAGCTCTATACGCTCCCAAGTTCTACCGGTTGACTAGCAGGCAATAGAATTCAAGGTTTTATAGAAAAGGTTTCCAAGGCAAATTTTTATATCCAGACATTCTAGGATGGCCGATTTGTCTCATTCACTTTTTGAAGTACACATAACTCTTGGATATAAATCCGAGATTTCCACATTTATTTTTCCCAGATGAAATAACAGAAAAAAATGGCTTTCGCCTTCCACTAAAATTGATGTAACTCGGCCCAAAAAAGTCGTAGAGAACTCGGAGACATCTCATTTTGTAGAGAATTGGTTACTCTATCATTATAGACTGTTAAAACAAAAAGGCTTTCGCGGCAATTGGTTTCAAAACCGCCGTTTTCTAGAGAACCTACTTCCAAGCATTTTCGACAAAAGTGTCCGCTGGACAAAAGAAAGAGCACGTCGAGAAACTCTTAAAAACCGGAGGACAGCTCGATACGTTCAGCTGTTCTTAAGATAGTCTATACCAACTTTCTCATGCAGCACGCCTATTGGTATGTTTTTGTTTGGTAAGTGGTTGTGTATGGATAGAAGTGTCTTCTATTTGCTAGTAAGTCAAAGATTTCCTTTTTATGATTCAGTTTGCAACATCAAACGGTATTATAGTGAATTTCTACTCTATTTTAATGTAAAAAATCAACATATTTTAAATGAGTTTTACTTTAGAATGCGTAAAATGCGTAGTGTTTCACGACCGCATCGCCATTTATATTAATATGGTGTGTATAATCAATTTTAAATATCGCTCCATCAAGAAAAAAAATCAATAAATAAAAGAAAACATCTGAATAATGAGCAAACTTGATTAAAACTTTTCTTCCTATTCATGTTAAGAGACTATGTAGTTAGCAAGTTTTTATTTATCAAGAGTAAGTTGATGAATAGTATAGAGAAGGTAACATTGTTGAGTAAAATTTAAAAATTAGATTTCCATTTATGCTTGAAATTAGATGCACTGCATGTTTCTCTTGATATTTTTTTGGAAATTCTCTTTTTATTATACAGTTTCGATTGTACAGATCTTTGCTTATTTCTTTTTAATCATTTGCTATGACTCGTTTTAAGAGCATTGAATTAGCGGTGGAAAGTTTCCGTTACTGTTACCAGGTAGCGGGAATGGGAACGACCCGTTACCAGTAAGTCGAGAACAGGGAAACGGTCAGGCGAGAGTCTACCATCATCAACCGCGTAGCCTCAGTCCTCAAGTCTTGCTCTTACGGGGTAACCTAGGGTCCTGAAGTCTTACTATTGGGGTGTACTTTGGTCCTCAAGTCCTAGTACTGGGCGTATTCTTGGATTCTCAGGTCCTACTATTGGCGGGTACCATAGACTCCTCAGGTCCTACTATTGAAGGACATTCTTCGGTCCTCACTTTCTACTACTGGGGACAGCCTTCGGTCCTCAAGCTCTATTATTTCAAGGTACCCTTGGGTCATCAAATGCTACTATAGAGAGCTACGCCTGTGTCCTCAGGTGCTCCGATTGGGGCTCACCTTGAACCCGTAGGTCCTGATATATTAGAAATTGCCAACTTAATATTAAAGAGAGGCCTCCCCCAATCGAAATCGGTAAAATATGGCTCAAAGAGATTGCAAGATTCTATTTGTCGGTGATCTATGCGGTAGAGCCCCATAAATATACCCTCCATTCGCTAGAGCAATCTCAATAACCATAGAGTCACTCCGAACATGACTAGCCCTTGTTCGGACAATAAGAAGAAAAGGGCTTCTGAATCTGATTGGTCGAAAAAATTGAGCAATTGGATTTTAGAAGCCCCTTTTATTGTTATTGTCAGGACAAGTTCTAGTCATGTTTGAGCCGTTTCTAGAGTTATCGAGGACTCTCTATCGAATGAGGGTATATGTATGGGGTTCAACCCGACATATCGCCTAGAAAGAGAATCTCACAATATAATTGGTCAATTTTCTCCAGCGTTTTGATTTGAAGAGCCATTTTTTTCGTCTTATGTGTGGAAAATGTGGCATAGCAGGTCTTAAGCGCCTATCGGCACCCTATCTCCAACAGTAGGTGTTGAGGGCTCAAGCGTACTCCTCAATAGTGGACCAGGAGGACCCAAGAGCGGCCCCAAGAGTAGAGCTTGAGGAGCGAAGATTGCTTCCAATACTAGGACTTGAGGATCCAAAGATACCCCGTCCTCCAACAGTTGGACTTCAAGACCCAATGCTGCCGCCCAACAGTAGTACTTAAAGACCCGACAGTCGCCATTAATTGGATTTGAGGATCGAGGCTACGAGGTTGATGACGGTAGGCGGGCAGCTGACAATTGCGCAGTTCCCGGATAACTGGTAACTGGTCGTTACCGTTTCCTGGCAACTGGTAACTTTTCCGTTACCGTTACCAGGTAACGGTCCGGGAACGGTAACTTCTCACCCCTTCATTAAATTATTAATGTACTTTTTTCCTGAAAACCGTCTTTAGTTTCTTCAACGACATTACCAAGTGTAGAAGTAAATAATGCCTCAGAACATTTCATAATTTGATATGGCATTAAGATGGAGTCTTTTGTTTGCTTTTCGTAACACTATACATGTCAAATGAAATGTTCTATAAAATGAGAAATTTTCGTGATGGCACAGAAAAAAACTTCATTTTCTAATCGTAGCTAAGATTTTACCCTATCTAAATCTTTGATAAATGTATCTATATGTACGTAAAATGACAAAAATGTACTGAATAAAAATTAGGAACATTTTATACTTGAATAGAAGCGCTCGATCCTAAAAAGAAGGAGCAACTCATTAGATCCAGTTCTGTCTTAAGACCTGTTCATTGAGCAGATTTGAGAGTGTGAGTGTAAGTTTTCCTTTGAGTCACATCGATCTCCATCATCGTCACAGATGTTTATTACTCTACTTCGTACCTGCACGATGTAAACATATCACATGCAACACATATTTACTATGAAAAGAACGAAAAAGGAGCAGAAGAATAAGAGAGATCAATAAGGAAAAAAATAAGACAATTGAACGACAGTCGTTATTATTACATGAGTGCAACTAAGGATTATTATATCAGAAAGAAGCAGCTGTTATACAATGTGTGGGTTTTGCTCCGTAAGAAGTTGATAGGACTTTCGGTATAACGGGAGGCTGTCTATATGTTGGCAAATGCATGTAATGCGTCATTTGGTGTAAGTTTTCCATTCTGTTGGTAATACTACTTTGAAAATAGTCGACATGCATTGTAACTGCATTAAATAACATAATATATTTTATTTATTCGACACTAAACGGTACGGACATGAGCGTGAGTCGTTGTTAAAATAAGACCCACAAACCACATAGAGATTAGACTATTACAGACTTATTTTTCTGAGAATCGAGAGTCATTGACAATAACGTGATAGAGCTCATACGAATCGACTAAATAGCCAACTAGCGACCAAAGAATGACCGAAAAAGAATTCAGCTAATGTATTTTTATAATGTTCAAATTATTTCATTTAGGAGATAGTACGGTAGTGGATGTCGACAAAGGTTAGACATCCATATCAACCCTCATCCACCCCTCAAGATTCAAGTGGTTCAATCTTCAGGCAAAATTTGCATCAGCCTATTGCGGATTGATATCAGTCTTATACCGATTAACGATATCTTTTTGAGCCAACTGACTTTTCGGGATTTTTTTAATACTGGACGTCCTGAAGAGAGAAGAAGATCTTCGACACTAGACAAACCTATAGAAGGATGAGGCGAAAAAAAAACAAAAAAATACGATTTTTATCTGAACGTCTTTAATGAGTGATCCCAAAAAGAAATATCCAGTAATGTTCAATAAAATATATCCTCTCTCAATCACAATAGATCTACTAAAAAATACAAAAAAACGCCAAGTCCGTATTCTGAAATGGACTCGTCGGAAACACGAACGCCATGCAAATATGGTAAAAATTGTTGTCGTAAAAATCCATTTCACTTCAAAAAGCATCCTCATCCAAACGAACTGCAGGATTCTAACGATGAGTACATATCAAATAATGAACAATATTATTTAATAGAGCGAACTCCATGCAGATATGGCGAAGATTGTTACAATACGAATCCATCTCATCTCAAAGAATATTCTCATCCGCACGAACTACTAGATTCTGACGATGAATACACATCGAATGATGAACAATATTCATCAATAGGACGAATCCCATGCAGATATGGCGAAGATTGTTACAATACGAATTCATCTCATCTCAAAGAATATTCTCATCCACACAAACCACAAGACGCTAACGATAAGTGCAAATCAAATGATGCACAATCTCCATTAGCAAAGCAAACTCCATGTCGATATGGTAAAGATTGTTACAATACGAAACCATCTCATCTCAAAGAATATTCTCATCCGCACGAACTACTAGATTCTGACGATGAATACACATCGAATGATGAACAATATTCATCAATAGGACGATTCCCATGCAGATATGGCGAAGATTGTTACAATACGAATCTATCTCATCTCAAAGAATATTCTCATCCGCACAAAACACAAGACACTAATGATACGTGCAAATCAAATGATGCACAATCTACATCAGCAAAGCAAACTCCATGTCGATATGGTAAAGATTGCTATGACAAAGATCCATCTCATCTCAAAGAATATTCTCATCCGCACAAAACACAAGACGCTAATGATAAGTGCAAATCAAATGATGCACAATCTTCATCAGCAAAGCAAACTCCATGTCGATATGGCAAAGATTGCTATAACAAAGATCCATCTCATCTCAGGGAATTTTCTCATCCACACAATGATGTTCAATCAGAAATGCACCAAAATATTTTAAGAACCAAACATCACACCCCTATTTATTGGGGTAAAAAGGCATTTACTGAATCCTATCATGAAATAAATGTAAATGCTGGTTCAACTGAATTCGAGATCATTAGTGACTTGCTGAATGGTACGATTGAACACCATGGTAATAAATACGGCACAATTTATGGACAAGATCCAGGACAGTTTGTTGTGACGAGCATAACTCGAATTCATAATAAAACGCTCTGGGAAGAATATTGTTTTAAAAAGGTAAAGAAAATAGTCGCAGCCATTTTCTTAACGACAGTGACGAGTATCGATGAAGTGCTTTCTATTCTACAAAGAATCTTTTATAGAGCAGATCAAATAAAGTCATTTATAAACAACTTCATTTCTAATGATGTTCTTTTAAATTTCAACAGAGATAAATATTATGAGAACACTAAATGCATTTGCCAATTCTGTCGATGATCAATTTACAGTCGGATTCACATTCATATTACTTTATTTTTTTAATATTTCAGGAACGAATTATAGAGGCAAATGGCCACAAATTAGCCACTTGTGAAAGTTCAAAATATTTACAAGGTCGCCCATTGCTGATGCCCTTGTTAGATACAAGTGCAAATGAATATTGGCTGTTTCATGGTTGCGATCCTAAAACACTGTCAACTTTATTAAAGAAGGGTTATGATTGTCGAGTATCGAGTGTCAATGGAATGTTCGGGGGTGGATTTTATCTAGCAGAAAACTCAAGTAAATCAAATCAATATATTCCGTGTCCTAGTTGTCAGCAAAATTGCATAGATCGTGATTCTAATTGTAAATGTCAAAACCAAGAAGATTTCCAGTTTTCAATTATTTTTTATCGAACAGTATTAGGAGATATGCATATTGTGAAAGAATATAAATCGGAAATTTATCGTGGAACAGATGTAAGCCATCCCGTGCGTCGACCACCGCAAAAACCAAATTCAGAAGATTTATACGATTCTATAATGGGTGAATGTAACAAATATGGTGGTAACAGATTAAGGTATCGTGAATTTGTGGTATACGACACTGCTCAAGCGTATCCAGAATATGTTATAAAATATAAAAGATCAACAGAAAAACTAAGATCACCTTCTAATATCAATTCTGTGCAAGATAGATACTACACTTTTATTAAAACTAACTCCAGCTAATGACTGAATAATGTGATACTATTAAAATTTCAAAAAACATTTATTTTCTTTAAATGAGAACTAAAGTGATGTATTAACACATAATTATTACTCCAATTATACTCATGCATATTCTATTATTTTTTATATATTAAATCAATAGTAAACATGTAAACAAGAAATACAAATTGAGGAGTAAATATAAAATGGTCACATGAAAACTTGTAAACACTAAGGACGTTTGCACTTGAAGGAGTTTTCATTCTCGATATAATATCGTGTATACCAACAAATAGTAACAATTTACCATTTGTGATATTTATTTTATTTGATCAATTAGCCTCAAGCACTAAATCCAAAAAATTTCGAATCTCTGTTGTCCCATAGTTTCAACAACCCCTTCCTTCATCTCAAATCTAACAATATTAACTAACTAATAGTTCTACCAAATCAACCGGATGTGCGTGTGAGTATGTCGATGAACAGAAAATTGACACTAATGCTCTCCACCCACACTCCAATCTTTTCTGTAGATTTCAGGTGTGGGTATACGTTAATGCGATGCCCACATTCAGCCACATCCACTTCTGTCAG